CGTAAAACGTTCTCCATTGATGATAAAATGGGCATAATCAGAAAAATTGAAAATGGATGTAATCAAGCTGATATTTGCAGGAAATATAAACTATCCAAATCTACAGTTTGTAACATGTGGAAAAATAGGCAATTAACAATTTCTTCTCATGAAAGAAAATTTAGATGGCAGAAAAAAGTTGAGAAAAGCAGATCACAAGGATGTTGAAGAAACATTACTGCAGAATTCGAAGAAGCTGCGATCTTCCAGTATCTAGAGATTTGTCGATGAATTTTCAAAGCGATTTTGTGCTCGAATAAGTTTGAAGCTACTTTTATGTGCTCGAATGGTAGGTTACACAGTTTAAAAAGCGGAATAACAGAAATTTAGGAAAAATAATCTGAGAGTCGGGAAGTGTTTCCATATTTGATGTTGAGGATTGCTGATCAGCTAAGAATTACTAATTTTTTTTTGTGCGCTAGACGAAAAGTAATAATAAATAACGCATTTTTGTTACTATATATTATTTTTCAGTCATTTACTTGAATAATGTGTAATAAAAGGGAGGAGTCTGGAACCATTAGTTAAATTCCCTGTGTAACGGATATAGTGAACTCCCGGTTATAGTGAACCAAAATTTCGGTCCCTTGAAGGTTCACTATAGCGGGGTTTGACTGTACATACATATATATACATATACATACATATGCACATATATACATATACACATATACACATATATACATATATATACATATATATATACATATACATATACATACATATACATACATATATATACATATACATACATATACATACATATATATACATATACACACACACACACACACATACATACATGCATACATATATATATATATATATATAAAAGCTTTTTTTAAAAAAATCTTAGATCTTCCCATGTAGCATGATACTTAAATTAAACATAAATTTGGGGGAAATTGGTAAAGTCAATACGCTTTATACGTACAGTCCCTGGCCAAATTATTAGACGTACTATAAGGTTCTATGTAAAATCTTGATTATCATGTGATACTATACAGCTTTATTGTTTCTACGCGATTGAAACCAGTTTGCACTTGTTTACGTTCGTGTATCAATTGGTTAACATTGTCATGCAATACGTTAAAAATAAATACGAATAGAAAGTGTATAAAAATTCTCCTGAATAAAAACCCATGACATGTGTGTTTAAATATAAAAGTATACCATATAAACTAGTGCCAAACATGTAATTATAAAAACTAAATAGTGCGTCTAAAATTTGATCCAATTATTATAATTTACTAATATAATACCTAATATAATAAATATTCTATATTTATATAATATATCGTCTATCCAATCGTCGAATTTACATTACATATCGTCTAATTTAACCAATTGATACACGAGAGTAAACAAGTGCAAACCGGTTTCAGTCTCGTAAAAACACTAAAGCTGTATAGTATCACGTGATAATTAAGATTTTACATAGAATCTTATAGTGCGACTAATAATTTGGCCAGGGATTGTCATTTTTTAGCGATAATTCGACGTTTCAATTTCGCGTAAATTTTACGAATGCTTAGTAAAATTTAAAGGGAAAATACGCGTATTTTTAACGTAAAATTGATGGTTCTCCGCTACCTGGGTTAATGCCGGAAAGAAGGAATGACATCACATAACTCACAGTCGCTTTTATCAGATTTGAAAAGTAATTATTTCACAGTGGCTGTTTGGTTCTTAATAGGGTGATATTTTATTTTAAAAAAAAATTATAAAAATAAAACATAGGAACTCACAAAAATTTTGACAATATTATTGAAAAATTCTGCTCTAAATTTTAAAGCAGTCTTAAAAAAACATTAGTAGAATAGAAACACAAAAGATTTTTTGCCGAAACAATCGCAAAAGAAAAGAACTCTTGGTATAAAGTTTTGCATTTAATTTATTTATGCAGCAATTATTTATGTTTTTCCTCACAAAAGTTTAACAATGTGAGTGAAAAGGCATTCCACTAAGCTTTAGATGAACTTCTTCACAAAAAGACTTACAAAAAAAAATGGCGAACTTCTGAGAACCTCATCAGCTGTAACTTCCCCATTTCTCGAATGCATATTATCATGCGAGGAGACGAGATTCTCATAACTACAAAAGCGAGACGGTGTAAGAAAATAAGAGAGAATTGTAATTAATTTTTATGTAAGTAGCTTCTTTATTGCCGCGAAGATGAAAGTAAGGCTTAGCAACCTGGAACGTCACCCCCACCCCGACTTCCAAGAAACTCTTCAAAAAGCGTTTTTGAATTTTTAACTTTTAAGCTTTATTTTTAACAAAACAAGTTGTTTTGGATAGGAGTGTAATTTTAAAGGAGATCATCATTCTTCTGTAAGCGTTAAATATTTTGAATAGAGAGAGAAACTATCAGGGGATTCTCAAAATTATTTTTTAATGATCCTATAGAGGGGAATTAATCTTTATCACTATTATGGGAATGCTACTGTTTGTATGACAGATTTAAGAAAGCGACATTCAATTTCTAGGTTAACTCTAATTCGTCTCACCTTAATCGAGATAAATCGAGGTTTAAAACAAACACGGCAGACCAAAGAAAAATGCAATAAAACATGTTATGATATGCAATGTCCATCTAAACTATTATTAAACTAGACCATTGTTTTAGTATAAAT